AATCATCTGGAGAACTAATGTCCAGTTAAGGTCTACGGCTTTCTTCCATCGTGTGTTCTTCTTAATTATCTGTACCTTTTGACCATTTCATGTGGTTCTTAACTTAGTTTTCTCCCCTGGACTTGAGAGCCACTCTTGTCATGACTCATAACTTTTACCTATTGGAACATGAGCGAAATCCGAGTAAATATCACATTTTTGTAAATCCTGTCAGTGTGGAGTACCTCTTCATCAAGTCCCAACTTGCTGGAGTGAGAGATAGACCCAAGCAGGGAAGTTACGTTCGAGTGGTCTTACAGCAGAACTGCCTGTTCTCTAACCTGTCTGCTGCCCTCTCCTTACCATATAATTTATCTCCCCCCAAAATAACATATGAGGAACATTTCCTCTCCAGCTTTGATGAGTCTAATTTTTAAACGAATCATGACACCTCGATTCAGTGAGAGAGGTGGTAAACATCTAACACTTTTTGGAGATATGCTATGGACCAAGGTAAAAAGAGAGGATGGAGGAGTCTGAAAGGATGGCTCATGCATCATCCACATCAGAGCCACCTAAGGAAGATAATACAGTTCAGATTCTGAATCCTTTTATAATCCTACAGAACATAATCTGGGGTTCATGCTTACAGTTGTTCTTTAAGTCTAGAGGTGAACCCCAAAGGTTAATGTTGAACACTCACCAGGCATATTCCTGATATAGACATTAGGTTTGAGAATGACTGGACAAGGGTATTATTTTCTTTGGAATAATTTTCTTAGCCCACCAAGTTTGTATTTTCCATTATTTTTCTATTATACTTATTTTAATGCTATCTCAAAGAAATGTGTTAAAAGCAGTCAGTGAAATACTCTAAATCAAGAAGTGTATTTCAAATATTTGAGCATGCAAATTGTTGTCTATTTTTGCATTTAAAGACATAAAAAGGCAAGAGTTAAGAACTTTTTGTCTTTTTAATGAAGCATGTATTTCTTGATGTGATTTCATTTTCAAGCAATGATTTTGTTAACCAAGAGTACCCAACAGAATTGGCCACAAGAGGAGAGTCTGGCCCAGTGCCCAGGAATCATTAGTGTTAAAAGGCTTCATAGATAATGCCAATGGGCAACACTGGGGAGAAGTTCTGTTTTAAATCTTGAGATTTGTTGTGAGTATAAAGGATGTCCTTCCCTGGCCCAAGGTCTGGATCAAGGTTGTGTCTGAACATGCCCAGTGCACCTGCAAGTGTGTCCTTGGTCCTGGCTGGCTGGAGGGCTTAGGGTAGAATGGTAGTATGGTGAGACTTGGTGGAGGTCCCCCTCACCCCTAACTTTCTCTCTTTCATGAAATAAATAAAGTAAGAAACAAATTGAAACAAACAAACAAAAGATGCCTTTTCCTCTGCTCATCAAGTTGGAGGACAGCAGGTAAAATTAGACTACATGGTTGGAGTCAGCTGAGCTTGAGGTAAAGGCCTCTGATCATCAGGACCCATTTCTCTTTCATTCTCCTACTTGTTGTTTTGCCATTACTCTTCATTTCTGCTACTTAAGTTTTGAGTCCATCATATCTACCCCGAATTATTACAAAATCCTCCTAACTGCCCTGGTCTTTATTCTCTCTCTTGCTGCTGGACGATCTCCTTTTTTAAAGTTATATCTGTTGCTTTTTCTTACCTTAAAATGTTTCAGCGAATGGGTTGGCATTGCCTACAGGGTCAAGTCCAAAGCACTCACCATCTTATTGATGATACCCTTGTTCCTGCTAACCTTTCTTCTCCTTGGCTCAGTTACTCACTTCCTTACACAGACTTTGCAGCTAGGTTCCACCATGTTGATTGCAGTTCATTGAGCTACTTAAGAACTTTCATCTCTTTCTTCTTCACATGCCAGAGATAGGCAATGCTGCAAAACAAACTTCTCAAAATTTGCTGCACATTTTAGGCCCAGGCTTTTAAAGTTTAAAAATGTAATATCTTCTCCCCCAATGTCAGTCCATTGGCTCCCAAATTAGGTGAGTGCTACTGGGAAAGAGAGTACTCATCATCTTGAACCCAAGGCTTTCACATTGTGGGAACTTGTCGTAGAGTCCCTCTGATTTTCTATGAGTCCTTTAGCACTGGGGCATTTTTCTAGACATCTTGGACACTCATTCTTTGCCCCATGTGTAGCCTTACATGATCAGGACATTATCCAGCATTCCACATACCTGTCAGCTGGAGAAAAGGTGAATCCCAACGGGAGAGGCCTTGTGTGTGGTGTGTCACATTGATAGGAACACAGGAAGAAAGGGATTGAACATTGTTTACTCTTTTGACAGCTACTCCTCCAGGCCCTAATTTTATCCCACTTGGGAATAATTCGAATATGCAATTTGAAGACAGAACTTTAATATTCTTTCTTTACTTGCTAAAGATATACCTAGGGTTAAATATTAATGAGATGCAAAGTTAATAATTCTGCTCAATTTCTAACATTTCTTCTTTTCTTCAAAAAATCCCCAGCTATTTGCTGATGCTTCGATGCTTGCTCTCCAGCAAGATTCTTAGACGCTTTAGGGCATATATTCTTTCTGTCTTTCAAATAAGAATTCTTTTGTTTGGTGGCTTGATTAAAAAATTATATGATAAGCTTTAGGGGCTGCATGTGTTTGTAAGACAGACAGAGACAGGGTAGAGCAGAACATGATTTGAAATAGTGTCAAGGAATGGCTGCCTATCCTTCCTTCTCCTCCCCTTCCTTTCTTTGTTCCATGCTCCTCTCCCTTTTCTTTCTTCTCTCTCTTTATTCCCTTTATTTTTATTTTCTTTTTATTCCTCTTACTAATTTTTCCTTTTTTTTTCTCTCCCTCTCTCTCTTGCTTCCATTCATTTATGGAATAACACAATGGACTAGGGACCAAGATTAAAATATGGGGGAAAATCTTTAATGCTTTTACGGACCCCACAATCTAATACTGAGAAAAATGTACAGGTACAAAATTAATCATAGGGGTTTCAGGTTACACTGATTTTTAAAGGGAGGAAAACTGCTATTGCCAGTTATTCACATTTATTCTTTCCTGGTACCAGAATAGTCAAATCTCTATATTACTTTATTTTTATTTATTTATTTATATTTTAGCTTTTACCATAGGGCACACGTGCTCTTCAGAGAGAGACAGAGAGAAGGAAAGTAAGAAATCACCCCCAGGGGCATGGCCACTCCACAGTCCCCTCACCATTCTATCAGGATTTTGGGCACACGTGCATAGGCGCCTGGCATGACTTTCAAGCCACCAGGTCCAGGACTTGAATTGCAGTCGGCCATGTGAGAGTCCAGTGCCTTAACCACCATGCAACCTGCTGGCCCCTCTAGGTCACTCTCTTACATAACATGTGGACTGAATAGGACAGCGACTAATAAAGAGGCTGGGAATGAAACAGGAATAGATAATAATGATCCTTCTAGTTGATGATAACCAATTGGCATTTATCTTAAAGTCAGGGAGAAGGTACTACTAAAGAATTTTGAGGAGGGAATAAGTTGATCATATTACTAGAAAAAAAAGTTATTTGGTAATAGTGAAGAGATTAGATGAGTAGTGAAGAAGGGGTAGGGCATTAGAGTAAGGAGACCTTTCAGGAAAGTATTGTCCTTGTACAGACAATGATAAAGGCTCAGGTTGGAGGTTGGTAATCTACACAAGATATGAGGATTTAAACTACAGAAAGGATGTGGGTGAATTTGTCAAGGGAGGAGTTCTGGATGGCACCTAGACCTGAGTATATGGTGCTGTTAACAGATACAGATCACATGGGTCATCGGAAAAGTCATGACACATTTTTGTATAGAAAAACAGAAAAATACATCATTCTTTTCTGACAACCTAATAGAAGGAGGAGAAGGTTTATGGTTTGGGTAGAAGGAGGGTGACAATGAGTTCAATTTTGAACATGTTGGATTTGAGGTCTTTTATTGGGTATCTACCATATGTTTAGAAGAAAAATGTGTTTAAACTCAGAAGAGATTGGTATTAAAGATGTAGTTTTGGAAGTTGTGAGTCCATAAGAAGTGGTTGAAGCCAAGGGAGTGGGTATATCACTTGAGAATAGTGTGAAGAGTATATCACTTGTGAATAGTGTAAAAAATGAGAGGAGAAAGACCAGAATCTTGGGGAGAATGGATGGCAATTAAGGAGATTGAGATTAAATGGCCTGTGACATAGAAAGAGAGACTCAGACAAGTGATTTTCTAAAAACTGAAGAAAGAGAGTTTTAAGAAAATATGAATTAGAACCAGCAACGAGTATTAGAGAACTCAAAAGCAGAAGAAGAACAAGGGAAAGGAAAAGAAAAAGGAGGAGAGGAAGATGAAAAGAAGGAAAAGATGAGTAAAGAAAAGAAAGAAGCTTGCTCTTTTTTAGCCAGTTTGTCTTATGCTACTCAAAGGAGAAAGAGATATGAGCTTGTTTATGAAGCAAGATTCACAGTAGATTTCACTCTAAGCAAAATTTTAACAGTTATGCCACCGGGTCAAGAATTTTTAAAAACTTACTCATTCTATTATTTGTTTTGAAGGATTGAAAGATGTTAATACGTGTATATGTCATAAAGAAAAGGAAGTCCAAAGTGAGGCTGGAGATTCCAGAGAGAAACTAGTTTGGAAGAGCGAGTTGTCAGATACATAGCAGTGATGAAGGCGGGGAAGGGAGACCTTTCCACAGAACTATGAGAGCCGCAAAGAGGATCAGCTAGGAGAAGATGGAAATTTGACTTCTTGTTCATTAGCCTGTAGCTTACCCACCTGAAGAAGATTACTCTAGGGCCTGAGGTGGTTCACAGGTGGGCTGTAAGCAGCCTGGGCACAAAGGATAAATTGGAGAAATGGAGCCCGGAGGAGTCAGTTTCCAGGGGAATTTTTGTTTGTTGAAATGGTAAAGGAAAAAGGAAGCTTTGGTTACAGAGACAAGGTGGTAAATGGGCAGAAGGGCAAGAAAAAAGAACTTATGTAATGCAAGAACTTATTTACATTAACTTACAGATTGTCTGAAAGGAGGCCATTAGCAAAAGCTGAAGGAGCTAGTTTTTGTGGGATTTGGAGGCACCGGATGGCTCTTGGTCACAGAATGAATAGGAACACTGCCTTACTCAGTTCCTAGAGGACCCTGGAACTTGGATTCCTTGAACTGCTATGATAGAAGCCTTGGGATTAAAAGGACCCGTGGAAAAGGTGAAGTTGCTTGGAGAACTGCCCAGTTGAAGATGGTGTCATTCCTCCACAAGTATCCGTGTCTCTCCCTTTGGAGCGGCTACTCCATACGTAAGTCCAGGAAATCACGAGACTGAAGACTTGAGGGAGTAGATGAAGGCAAAGACTGTGCTAGCTCCTATTGCATTTTCATGAAGGAAGGAGAAAAGGAAAGTGTCTTGAGGGGGGAAGTGGAGGTTACTAGAGAAGGAGATCAAGCCCTGTCTTGGGATAAAGAATGATAACTGAAACAGTTTGGAAGACCTAGCGGGGGATGGTGAAAGTGAGCTTGTAGTGCTATCGTTTATCTGCTTTTCTTTGATGTTTAGCAGCATGGACACCAGAACATAGAAAGAAGACAGATAAATTAATGCAAAGTTGAGATAATTAAAACACTAAAAAGTAAAGAAGGAGCTCACAATAAGAGACCTCAAAAAGCCCTAAAGACTTCCCAGGAAGGGTTGACCAAGGGAGGACAGCTAACAACCCCGTGGAGTAAACAGAAGAGCACAGGTAGCTGCAAAAGCAGAATATCCCGGTTTTGAAGATGGTTGTGGCTGGTGTCGCCCCGGGGGGAAATCTGCATTACACGTTTGGTGCCGCAGCCTACAATCACATTAGCATTCTTGGCAAGCACATCACATTGTTGGTTCTAGTAAGCTTATAGCCAAACAAAAGCTCTAAATCTTTCACACGTGCTGCTCTTAAGCCATGATTCCACCATCTTGTACTTGTGAGATTAATCATTGTTTTGGGCCTCAAAGTAAAGCCTTACAAGTTATGGCTATGACATTTCATGTTGTTAGATTTAAACCATTGTACCAGTTTTTGGAAAATATTTTGTGTATTGATTCAGGGTCTTACACACTCTTTTTCATAGCTTTCAATAAGACAGGATCCAGAGAAATATTTTTATCTCCAGGTAAAAGTGATGGATTTTCTGTCCATACAAGCATGGTGATGCTGTGGTCACAGCAGGCCAGACCCAGGTGGTGGGGGTGGTGCAGGGGAGCTGCAGGATGGGAGCCTTTTCCACGTTACGGTTATAACCCCCACCACCACCCCTGCAGTGGGAACGTGGCTCTCCACTGGTGTTCATCTTAACATTGACCTCCCTCCTGACAAGTGTTGCAATGGATGTGTCAGGTGCCATGAGGCCTATGGCAAAAGTAAGAACGACTGTGACGAGGTGTTCCAGTGCCTGGTCCCTAAGATCTGACGCAACAAGCACAACACACTAAGGCCAGCTCAGCCTGTGCAGGTGTGTGAAACAACAGTGGTGCTCTTGTTTGACAGTGCCATGCATGCAGGCTGTATGCCAGGCCTGGACACCAGTGAGCCGCATGCAGGGATCGCTATGAAGAGAAACTTCTTCTAAAGAAGATGCTGACAGCCGGTGACAGATGAGGGTGAGCAAAATCTAATGTGTTTTTTACAATAGAAACTTATTTTTGTTAAAGGCCAAAAAAGTAATGTTTTACCATAGAAACCTATGTTATTTTTGTTAAAGGATTATGCTAAACCCTTATAATATATCTTCATGTTAAAATCTCAAAGTGAAAAAATAAAGGTGGGAGAGCTATTGCGGAGAGAAAGCGCCCCTCAGGTACCTTCCTGGGCTTTGCTGCTTTCTTGTGTCAAATAGTCTTGACCAATCTCAAATACAGATGGGTGTGAAGGGGAGAATTTTAAAAAGAATAATACTAATTTGATTTTCACAATCATAGCTACAAAAGAGATAACTATAAAATGCAAAATTCATTGTAAGGTCTACTCAACATTATCTTATTTAGAAATATGAGAAAAATCTTAATTTAGAGTATTACTTGTTTACTGTGAAATCTTAAATACACATTTATGCCTGGAAGAAACCCAAGTATGATGGTATATGCCTACAACCCCAGCTACTTGAGAGGCTGAAACAGGAGGATCATAAGTTCAAGGGTAGCCTGGGTAACGTGATGAAATTCTCTTTAAAAACACAGAGATATAGAGCCAGCAGGTGGCGTAGTGGTTAAGGTGCTGGACTCCCTCTTGGCCAACGACAGTTTGAATCCTGGACCCAGGAGCTTGAAACGCACACCAGGCATGTGTTCGTGCATGTCCAAAATCCTGAAAGAATGGAGAAGGGATTATGGTGTGGCCATTCCCCCAGAGGGATGATTTCTCACTTTCTCTTCTGTCTCTCCAGTGAGCACATGCACCCTATCGCAAACAAACAAAACCCAAAAAGCTCTCTCTAAACACACACACACATACACACACACACATACACACACATAAAGATTCAGGGGCCAGCGAGTGGTGTGGTGGGTAAGGTGCTGGACTCCTACATGGCTAACCAGGGTTCATGACTCAGACCTGGCAGCTACAAATTCACGCTGGGTATGTGTGTGTGTGTGTGTGTGTGTGCCAAGAATCCCAGGAGGAGAACGCAGGAGAAGGGGTTGCAGTATGGCCATCCCAGCTAGGGGGGGTGATTTCTCACTTTCTTTGTGCCTCTCTGATGAGCACTTGTGCCTTATAGCAAAAATCTCTCCAAAAAAGAAAAGCAAGGAAGAAAGAAAAAGACACACACACACATACACACACACACACAAGGCCTGGAAGAAGAAACTGACTTTGTTTTTTCCTTTATTTTAATCATACATACATAGTCTGTCGTTTATCTGTGGCCCATGGAACATATAATTATATAAATACATCATGGTTCTGTTAGGACTAGTTACAAGAACAACATTTTCATGATTATCTTATAAAATCGAAACCACCAACTGGTAAACCTCTTCGGGAGCAAGCCCAGGATATCTAAGCATGGTGTGAGGGTAATGAGAACGCTATTCAGAAGCAGAGCCACTCCCATTTTAAGAATTCCTCCCATGATGAATGTCACAGGGCAGGTGCCACCATGCTCTCACATGATGAATGTCACCTTTTTGCTAAAACCTTTGCCAAAACTGGAGAAGAGCTGGATTTAATGAGGCAAATGGCAGGTCACCGAATGGCACATCAGAGCACTAGCTGCCGCTGTGCTCTGCTGTTTCTTCTCTTGCCCTTCAGAATAGAGTCTGGGTATTTTTAAAGATTGTAACCTTCTACGCCTTATGGTCTTAATAAAAATTGTTCCTGATTTTTTTTTTAAAGTGATGAATTCATGCTGCTGTCTTGTTTTTGACTCCACATCTTGATTTTCTCTGAGAGACTGTGTTCTCTTTCTTTCTATAACTTCCTGATTTGCCAAACTGCATTGGTTAGTATGTTTTTGCCTGCAAGATTGGAAAGCCAACCCAACCTGGAATAAACAAGGACACCTGGTCCATAGAGGGAGGGAGGGCTGCAAGCATGGTACAACCAAGGCTATGACTATTTTGCTGTTTGTAGTTTGGCTCTACCTTTGCCAGGTGTTCTCAGGCTGCTTCCTTTGTGGTTGAATGTTGGCTGCCAAGAGCGGTGGGGATAACATGGCTTCTTGTTTGTGCCCAGAGGGAAGGATTAAAAGGACAGAAAGTACAAATAGAAGGCTATTCTTTCAGTCTACTCAGACAACCTCCAAAATCACCCTTAGAATGATCAATGGTCCTGTTTTCTTAGAAGTGAAAGTTTTCCTGGGACATAGAATTTTTCAGAGCTAAAACGAAGAACATCTTGGGCAAATGGAGATGTTTGGTCACCCCAGCTTTTATACCTAGACCCAAATCATTACCAGGATAATATTAATAAAGCTTACTCCAAGGACCTTGGCAAAAGAACGGATGTTCATGATGGAACACATGTTTCTGAAGTGTGGCTGTCCCATACCTTCATCAGATTCACCTGAGGACAGATTCCTGGGCCCCTAGATCTGATTCAGACATCTGAACATGGAAACTGAGAACTCACATTTATCAAACACTACAGACAGTTGTCCTACATTCCAGTTCTTGGAAAAATACTGAGTTAGACTAAGTAGTACTCAACCCAGATGCTTGAGTCTACACCTTGAGTGGCTCCTACGTAACGGGGAGGGTTGACAAGGATATTGGGGCCACGCATCTGCACACACCAGCTTTCTGTTTCTGTCTCTCTGGCAAGTGCACATGCTGTATAACAAAAATTTCTCTCTTAAAAAAGATAAGAAGTAATCCTCCCTTTCGAAAAGGAAGGAAGTTGATTCAGGATTGCTTATCCTTAGAGAAACCATGCTGCATGCAGGTAACGTTCAAGTCAAGGTTCTTGACTCCACTTACGAAGCACTCCCCAACCATGCTTAAGAATCACTCTTGCTTTTTTTTCGCTTGGATTTGGTATTTAACTCACAGTCTGTTAGCTTATAGATGCCATGATCTTCTTTCATAAAAATATTTTTGAAAGTCAGAATAGAATTTTCTTGTATTCAATCTTTGGGGGAACAGCATAGACTTGAGGTTAAGAAATTAAACCCTAGGCAGGTGAACTAAGTGGACACTGTGAGACTCTCACTTGCACATTCTAAATTTTTCACGTATTCCTTAGCTTCTCAACATATATCATTTGAAAACAGAATACTTAAAGAACTTGCCTCATTTGGGCTGTGGAGAGAATTAAATGAGGTAATGTTCGTGAAGTTTTAGCTCAGTGCTTGCCTCACTAAGTAATCAGTAAATTCTGCTAATGATATTCTACCTCTTCATTCGTGGTTTGAGTTATTCTGAGTACTGAGTAGGGCAAGGCAAGTGCTTGTTACGATCAAATGCAAAGATAGGAAGTGATCTGTGCCACCACAAACTCACAGTATTCTGTATTAAAATATAACGACAGGATACCAGGACAGAGCAGAAAAAGGAATCATCAGTTTGGGGAATGAGCTAGGTCTTGAAGTACGATCAAAAGTTTTCTAGATGAATGCAAGAAAGAGGGGGGCATTCCAAAGAAAAGGGGTAACATGAGCCTAACAAAGGCATGGGCACATGAAGGAGAAGGGCTCCGTGGTGAGTGCGAGTTCTGAGCTGCAGCACAGGGAGCAGTGGAGGAGCAGTGGTGGATGATGGAAGAGCCACAGGCTGAGCTGACTGGTAGAGTTTGAACATTCCTTCTAGAGCATGCGTTTTAAACAGAAGAGTCAGCTGCGTGATCACACCTGCATTTTGGAAACCCAACATAGGACAATGGGGCTATGCATTGAGTGGTGCACAGAGTCTTTTATGAAGAGCCTGCAGCAACGTGCTCTTAGTGAGAGCACAGCCAGAGAAGGATGGCATGAATACAAGGAAAGAGATGCATGTAAGCGCTGCCCAGTGAATACAAATAATAAAACTGGATTCGCTGTGGAGGGATGGAGAAGCAAGAGCTGAGAGAAAGTCCCAGGTCCTAGATGGATAGTGACATTATTGCCCAGATAAGGCGACAGGGAGCAGTGAGGGTGATGGAGTCAAGCTCCAGACTTGTTGAATTTGCGTCCCCTGGGAAAAGTCCAGAAGGAGGAACGCAGTAGGTGGCTGGCTCAGCATGTCTGTGTCTGGACAGTGATTTCTGGCCTGGAGGGATTTTCTGAGAAGTCTTTGGAAACAAATTTCTGGCACTCAATCTGTGGGTGACAATCATCAAATGGGTAATACCTCAGAACATGATGTAGATTAGAATGAGGACAAGAATCCCCAGAAATAACAGAACCCCACAAAGTTTGTTGACAATAATTCATTGATATCATCTCCAAGTTTTCCCAGGGTCCAGGTCAGAAGAATTAAATACATTTAGTGTTTTCTTTTTTACCCTTCTTTTAAAGTATTTCTTGCTAATTTTTTTATTTTTTAGATTCTTAATTCACCTTTAACTAAGATATTCTTTTGCTTGTTTTTTTTTATTAGACAGTATAAATGATAGTGTCCTAAACTTTTAAAATTACATGTTGAAATATAAAAAATATAAATGAGAGTTTTGGTATAAACTTTGCAGTATTTTATAATAAAACAAGTAGCTGATTAAAAATTAGATATTAAAAAGCCGTTTTTCTAAGTAAGCTTTACTAGTCATTTTGGAATTATTCATCGCTGCTTTCTTACTTTTTTTTTTTTTTTGAGAGGTTTTTGCTATAGGGCACGTGTGCTAACCAGACAGACAGAGAGAGACATAGAGACAAAACGAGAAATCACCCCCCAGGGAGGATGGTCACGCCACAATCCCTTCTCCTCCATTCTCCTCTCGGGATCTTGGGCATGCACGCACACGCGCCTTGCGTGAGTTTGAAGCCACCTGGTCCGGGTCTCGAACCACGGTTGATTACATGGGAGTCCAGTGACATAGCCATTATGCTAACCGCTGGTTCCCTGCTTTCCTACTTCTTATAGGAAATTCAGACAATTCTGAATGGTTAACTTTAAACAATATTTAGGTTCAATAGCGTATTTGTTCAGATAGAGAAACAGGGGTGAGGCACATA